GTTTCCTAACAAATCTATAATACCACTAATAATAATAATAATAATAATAATAATAATAATAATAATAATAATAATAATAATTAAAGATTCTAAACATCCTTATCTCCATCAGTCGGTCACGGGCCAAGAGATGAGGCCCGCCGACCAGTCGGGCTAGGGTACGACCCGGCAATTGGCCACGTCTACTCACGGTCCGGTAAATTTCTAAAAGTGTTAACTTTTGTTAATAACGTCCGTCGGAACGTTTCGGAATTTCTGTGACCTATTGCGGGTACCATACTTATCTTCAACGTCAATCTGAACAAAACTTTTTTGTCACTTTAAATTGTAACTAGTATGTAACCCGTGCGATGCACGGCTGTATTTACTTTGGAGAATATTAAAAATTAAAATGTATTAATAAATAAAAGAGTGATAATTATCAAACCATAAAATGTTCCTCATGCAAAACAATATATTATTTAAACTTTCTTGTACACAACATTATTTGTTCAGCAACTCGACGTCCCCACAAACTAATATTTTCAACACTTTTTTATTATTTACACGCGAAACAAACAACATAATTGTCTGTGACTAAAAATCGATTTCTTTAAGAACATGCCAACATACAATAATTGTTGACCTTGACTCTTCTTGATCTATTACTTAACATGCTAACGTACAATAAATGTTGACCTTGACTCTTCTTGACCTATTACTTACACGCATAACAACATACAATTGATCGTGATCAAAAAAATATTTTTTTAAGAACATGCAAATGCACATCTCTTATCTATTACTTACACGTAAAAACAACAACATATAATTGGTCGTTGCTAAGAACCGATTTCTTTAATAATATGCCAACGCACATAAAGACAGACCCTGATCTTAAATGAAACCCTAAGATTAGAAGTAACTGGTGCTCTAGAACTTAAATGAAATCTGAAGATAGATCTTTTTATAATATGATAAAATACTTAGGCAGTCAGACAATGAGCTGTTAGTTTAATATCGATTATACTTGATTAGCTATATAATATTCACTAATATTTCTATATTTTTTTTATACAAAAATACTGACCTTGACTGTTAAATGGAACCTCAAAATCAGAAGGAACTGGTGCCGCTAGAACTTAAATGGAAGTCTAAGATTGATATATTTATAATATGATAATTTATACAACAGTTGGACAAATGAATTGGTGTATATCTGCAAAAATATGTATGAATAATACAAACCATTAAATATTACATCAAACTTATTTTACTATATATTATAGATATGAAATATAATACATTAGTGATTAGACAATACTTCAGGCTAATTTTTTCAAGCCGAACAATTTTTAGTAGAATGTGTGACAACTTGTTATATATTTTCAAGCTGAACAATTTTTAATTGGACAGCTTTCCTATTATATGTGTGACAAATTTTTAGGTAGTAAATTTATATATATATTGCAATAAATTTATATTTTGTGTATACAAAAACAAAAATCGATTTACTATACAAAATTTTGAAAATTTTTATTTTAAAAACAACTGACAAAAAGAATACCAATAAAGGGAATTGGTGTATATTTCAAAAAAAAAAAGATTTGTATATATCTCCTATAAAATCGTTCATTCTCAAAATCTGCTACAATGAAAAATATATTTAATTATTAATATAAATATATTTAGATATTAATATAAATTTATATTTTGTAATTGTTGATTCTAATAAATATGATAAAATAAAAAGAATCCTCACAAATGAGAATTTTAAAATTGACGTCATGTAAATTTAAATATTACTATAATTT